AGATAGCCCTCGTGTAGCTTTGCGCGAAATTCAAAAACAAAAACTTTTATAATCTTTGGTTTTCTTTTCCTGCTAGTAATCATTTCTTCATCTTTTCACAAAAATGTTAAGTTCTTTGTTACTAAGATGTTGAAGAATGTGTAACAAACTTAAATATTTCCTTTCCGTCGTAGATTTTTAAATTTAAGTCTTAAATATTACGGTTTTAAGCAATATAACTTATTTTTACTCCTATATGTAGTAAACATTATAAATGTTATTAAAATTGTAAAACAATTACATGAGACTAGTTTCATACAAAAACTGTAAAAAATGTTTGTAATAACTAAATTATCTTCTTGTAAGTTACTTAAGTTACATCATACCTGTTTTGGTTCTCGTGGTAAACACATTCATACAACCGAGCGACTACTTTAACAGCATATGGTCAGAGAATTATGTCCAACGGTATCGAAATGTAAAGGACAAATTTTATTTATTTTAATAGCAGTGTTTATTCATTTAGATATCTCGGGTTTCATTATGTGTCTATACCTTGAGGGCTGACTTGAGTTTCATTAAAAAACACTACTTTTCCACAGCTGGCTAAGACAGTGAACGGTAGTTTTAGGTGTGGGACGATGTGGCCTTACCAAAGTGGCCAATTTGCTGTAACTTTTAAGGTATAGTTTCACTTCACATGTAAGGCTTTCCAATAGTTATTACATTCGATAAACGGCATGCTCTTACCGCTATGTGTATTCTGTTAATCTAGATATTTACTTCTACTAAAACACATATTACATTTCCCACATTGTAGTTCAGTTGTATTCAACTTTTTTTTAATGGCTTATACTTGCGTGTGTCTGTATAGTTACGTGCTGTTTATTTATAACAAGTAAGATGATTTGGAAATGTTTAGTGTAGAATGTGATACTTCAAGAAACTGAAATGCAACTGGCGATCTTCGGTAGTTAAATCGAAGCACTTTAATATACCTACAACTACAGAAGATGTAACTTCTGCTACATATATTACCAATGAAACAATCCCATTAATATTTATACTTTTCAGACATCTTCCTGCGCACACCAGTATATTATGGGATTTTATACTTAAAGGGATGTATATGTTGGCTGAATATTTTTATTTTTATTTTTCTAAATTGGCGAATAATTTGTTTTAACTACACTCCTACAGGTACTTGTGTAAATACTTCTGTCAATGTGTATCAGGTGATCTCCTCAAGATTTCAGCTGTTTCCAGTAGTTGGCTGTTTTCAATTGTTTTCAGTATTTGGTTGTTTTCGTCAAATGACACACCTATTTCCATTCTTTTCAATAGTTGGTTGTTTTCGTCAAGTGACACACCTATTTCCATTCTTTTCAATAGTTGGTTGTTTTCGTCAAATGACACACCTATTTCCGTTCTTTTCAATAGTTGGCTGTTTTCATCAAATGACAGATCTATTTCAGTTTTTTTAGTAGCTGGTTGTTTTTATCAAATGACAGATCTATTTCAATTGTTTTCAACAGTCTGCTGTTTTTATCATATGACAAATCTGTACATGCTATACATGGAAATAAAACGAGTGTTATATTTAAATTCAGTCCATGGAGTTAATTGCGGAATTAAAACTCTAAAAAAAATAGACTGTGCACGAAAACTATTATCTTTAGTGATTATATATTTATTGATTACAATTTATAAACACTTATATTACAACTTCTGGAAGCACATGGCTTGCGTCAGTACTTACATTTAATACATGTTTATGATAGATGTCATATACTGTAACTTTGTAATGTACCTCGTACAGTAAATGCATTCATTGATGAATTAATGATGGCAAAACAATACGCACTTTGTATTACAATCTTTATATTAAAGCAAAAAGACGTGTGAAAAAGTGCCATTTTTCTATTATAGGGTGTCATATGAAGTATGCTAAATTTCGGTTGAAATACGTTAAGCAGTTTACGAATATAACGCGACAAAAATACTTTCGCGACCGTTCAGTCCCGAGCTAGCGCAATGCTGTCGATTTGAGCAACGATACTTATATAAATTATTTTGCCCTTGAATTCAATGCGCATGTTAAGGATAAAATGTGATGACGTCTGACAAGTAAAAAGTATCTGTTATCAGATACGCCAGGAAATTGTTTGTAATTTTGATGATTCAGCTATACATTCTTCGCAAGCTAGATGTGCAGAACAATCAAAGGCAATAAAGCTAAGTTCTGTTATGCTTTTGTCTTTGATATACATGGTTTAAAACATTTACATGTTGACCAAACCGTGTAGTTTGATAATTTTCTGGTTAGTATTAAAATAGGTAAGAGTTATAGTGCATACAAAACAACTAAAAGCAAAACCTAAGATTTAAATTAAGTTTTTACTGGCATCATTATGGGCCTAAAGTATTACCTGGAAGTGTAATTTTACTGGCATCATTATGGGCCGAAAGTATTACCTGGAAGTGTAATTTTACTGGCATCATTATGGGCCTAAAGTATTACCTGGAAGTGTAATTTTACTGGCATTATTATGAGCCTAAAGTATTACCTGGAAGTGTAATTTTACTGGCATCATTATGGGCCTAAAGTATTACCTGGAAGTGTAATTTATCATGCACCTAAAGTTTTTTGTAATTCTTAAAACTTTTTTTCTTAAAAATAATTGATTAAACAGCCTAGTTTTTAGCTTATTATAACATTTTAAAGTCATACCTGTGAAATGTTACGGGCAGATCAGTTCTGGGTTTGTTCTAGATGTCATCATCAAGGTTCTTTTCTATTGTTTAAAACGCATCACGAAATTTAGCCGTTGTGACTATGACTCAAACCATAAGTTCTCATAAAATATCATGAACTATGTCAGAAAGACTTTTTTCTATACAAACACAAGCTATACTAAGATGTATAAGAAAACAAAAAGTGGAAAATCTTATACCATGAAAAATGGCTAATTTTAAAATCACCAGAGAAAAGGCACGCCGGCTAAGTTTAAAATCACCAGATAAAGAGCGTCCCAGCCCGAAATGTTGTGAATATTGAAACATCTATTTCGCATTAGCCATTTTTCGTGGTATAAGTTTTTGTTTTCGATTTCATCGTACCACAGCGGATTTTTAAATGTATGTTGCCATTGACGCCGACAGGCAGAGCAGCGTAGGATTGTATTAGGTCGTCAAGAAATTAATGTCGCATTTTGGGACACTTTCATTAACCACCCCCGTACATCACGTATATCCGCCTAAACGTCACGTTAATGTAGCCTATATAATGTGTAAAGTTTAATATACTCTAATTCTTTATAATGATATCACACGACGAGAAACACATTCGGCATGTAATGCTGTTTGAATACAAGAAGGGAAACAACGCCTCTGTAGTC